ATGTATTTAGCAGCTTTATATTTGCAAGATTTATGTCTGGAAATCTAAACCTACCTAAGAATTATAATTATGTAAATAGAGAGCTGTATATTTATATACAGGCTAACCAGCAACGGGAAGACATTATCGATATCTGACAAAACAATGAATGATTTTTTGTTAAAAATAGTAAGCAGGCTATGATCTTTCCCTCCAAAATATTCTGACAGTTCTATTATTTCTGATAGCGATGGAACATGAAATGTTGCTTATTTGGAATATATACTTTTACACAACGCTCATGACGTCAGAGACCGTGTTTCAGTCGGGTATAATTTAAAATAACGAATTTTAAAATGAACCCTATTAAATTGTACCTTTAACTAACGTTTATGACATTACTGGCCGAGTTGGAATCGGGTATATTTTCAAATCTAGAAACTGAAAATTAACCCTATTAGGTACCGGACGTCACTGGCGGAATGGGCATGGTATACTTTCAAAAATGCGGATTTTAAGGCATTTTAAAACATAAACCCGATCTCAACGTACTTAGAAACTCTTTCTTCACTCGATATTTTAATCGGTACTTCCTCTTCGCTTTTTCGCGGGCACAACAATTATTTACATTTCTTCATTCATTACCGCGTGCGAACCAGTACGGTTTAAAGAAATTTTATAAAAGCTACTTTAAAAATAAAGATGTTAATGATTTTCTCATGGATCCCATCTGCAGATTTTGACTAAATGTATATAGAACTATTCCTTTTCTAACAAAAAGAGAATCATAGAAATCGGGCAACGTGGTAAAGAATTATCGCTCAACATACATAAAAAAATATTTAAACGAATTGAGAATATCCTCCCATTTTGAAGTATATTAAAAAAAATTGTTAATAAAGTGCAAAGTAGGGCGAGAACATATTATAGCATATAAAATGATAGATAAAGCCAGTTTAGAAGGTATTATAAATAAACTGTGGAAATATCGAGAATCTCGATTTTGAATCGGAAGAATATTCTATGCAATTAAGAATGAAAGCTGATCAAAATAAAACACATGAACGACACGCTGTTATTGACGACTTTCTTCAAACGTTTTCTAGTTTTCCGAAAACTAACTGGATAGTTCGAAAATCATTTCCGTCGTTAAAGCGCCTCTTGTTCCGAAAAAGGTACACGCCTGTAAACATTCATAGTTTAATAAAAAAAGTATTAGATACAAAATGCTTCGTATTGTAAGGCCAAAATATATTTAGAAATCAAAGAGTCATATAAACAAAAAAATTATTATAAATTAATGATTTGCAAGTTTATTCTTATTATCTATAAAATAGGTTTGCAATGTGCTGATGTGGAATGTTGTCATCGACTAAAAACTTTAAATCTTTGTATTAAATTGATCGAAAACAATCCATTAAATTGGTTTAGACTATATAGAATGTTTATATTAAACAGCGACTAATTTTTATTATGGAACCGAAAGACCCTTTTAAAAAGGTTCAAAATTAAAATAAAATATGTACCAAGTAAATGTACCTAGTAGTATTTTTTAATTTAAATTGAAAATGGTAACATGAAAGGTTTTTTTGTCTAATTGTAAGTAACGACTCATAGTCTCGGCTGACAAAATGTAAAAAAATATCGAACATAATAGTCCTGGGCCAAAAGCAACTGTCCCCTATTTTGCACTCTCCAAATTAAATTTAGTTGTAGCAAATAATATTAAATAAGATGTCAAATCACAAGCAAAATCTCGTGACTACAGTACTAATTATTGCCGAAAATTAACTAATTCATATTTTATGTCATATCTTTCTTAATAAGGACTTTCAGAACCATATTTGCCTTACTTGAATTTTTTTCATCGTTTTCTATAAAGAATCGTCTCTAAAAATGTATGACTGAAACATCGTGTAAACTATTTGTTCGATCAATAAAAAACTTGCACCGGTCCTGTCCGAGTCAGCACCGTTATACGCATGCGCTCCGACACACTATTTTCTCCTTATGGTTTCATTTTTGATGTATGGAATCGGCTTTCTATACTATTTCTATGGCTACAATGCGCTAGTTCAGTGATTTATGGTTCCACTGACAATTAAAGTGACAGTAGATTTTTTGAGTGCGTTTTGTCGTTTTGTTTACCTAAATTATATCGTTTTTTTTTTTTCACTTTTATAAATATATTCCTAAAGTAAGTAGATAGCATGCATCAAATAAACAATCGTTTAGTTACCAATTACATACCTTTATACTATTTTTTATGGCCTGTAAACAATATTTAGAAATAAACTAAAAACAGTAAAAACATATATGTCAAATTTATTGATGTTTTTGTTAAAAGTTTGGTTAGAATTAAATGTCAGTGAAACCAAAATGACATCACACTGAACTAGCGTATTGGATGTACTAATGAAGTCATCACTTTCGTGTATTTGACGTCATGGATTTATTTTTTTAAAAAGAACAACATATTTTTCCTTTCATTTTTGAATTCACCAATAATAGATGATTACAAAAATGTATGTAATACCATTGTATAATACTTATAGTCCAAAGTCATTGGTTTCTGAATTACAGACAAATGTTATATCACAAACTTTGAATCAAAATTTGTATTGAAACTTGTAGGTTCCCTTTTTTACAAATGTAATGGTAAACCTACCATGTTTATTATGTGGGTAGTGGATTTTTGCAACAAAAAATAGTATTACAATAGGTATTATAATTACGATGTTATGAAGTTGGCAACAAAGCTATAAAAACTAACAAAAAATTAAGATTTTATGAAAAGAAAAACGAATACAGATAATAAAATAGGTTTGTTACTTATAATTAAGTACATAGCAAAGAGAAGTTTGTGTGCACATGCACTGTGCAGAAATGGCACGCGACACGGTCACCGTTTTTCCGAAAGCGTGATGTGAAAAATTTCCTGTAGTTTCTGTTTCGGCCAGTTTTTCGCTGAAACCGAAACTACAGACGAAACTTTTATTTTATTCCGAATCTCTAATTTTAGGAAGAAACTTTGCCGAAACCGTAACAAAAACTTCGGTCGGACACAAATAATTAATAATAATAATAATCAATAGGTAATTAATAATAATACCTTTATTTGTACAAAATAAAACTGTACACATTGTTTTTGCGAGATTTAGACAAAGACTATTCTTACATTTCCTCACAATGAAAGAAATACTTTAATTTAATAGAAAACAAATAATCTAAAAAAAATATCAGAACGTCCCCTGAAGGCCTTCGTGTCACCGTTTTCACCATCGTATTGGCGCTGATCGATATTAATTGTTTGCTTTTATTCGCTTTTATTATCGTTTTGTAAAAAATTGATTATTTTCATTTACTTTTTTAATCAAAACAATCGTATTTGAAATATTTCACGTTGTTGATGGAACCCCCCCATAGTTCTCAAAAACCCCTCTCATGAAAAATTTCTGGCTACGCCACACTGTAACGCCACTGTACCCGCCACAATTCATCTTCTGTTAAATTGAAAAATAAATCTTGAATCCTCCTTCCCCTATTCTACAGGGTGTTTCAAAAAGGTATGTCATAAATTCTTCCACAGATAGAATACCAAAAAATAAGTGGATTTGGCTATATTTACTTATATCAAAAACTGGATCCTAACAAAGTTACAAGGCGTTAAACTAACATTCAAAAAAATGTTTTTTTTTCTAAGTTTGCTGTTGCGAATTTTTCTTTGAAATTTTTGTCAGTGCTGTAGATTTGAAGGCTCAATATTCTAAGGAGAAAAAAATTAAAGCGACCCCTTTAAAAAAAGTTGGGGGTTGGGTACCTTTTTTATTTTTAGCCTTTTAACCCCCCGTATTTTTGCGTTATCGATCTAAAAATCAAAAAACAACGTTTCTCTAAATGTTAGTTTAACGCCCTGTAACTTTGTTGGGAACCAGTTTTTGATATAGGTAAATATCACTTATTTTTTGGTAATCTATTTGAGGAAGAATTTATGACATACCTTTTTGAAACACCCTGTATTCTATCGCAATACTCGATTTGTGATGGAGTAATGAGGTATGAAGACACTGCCATAAGTTTTAACTTTAGAAATGGAATAGGTACCTATTAACCGGTTTTCTTGTGTAAGCTGTTATAGGTAGCTATTTCCTCTACGTTTTATGAAAGTGCGTAAATTAATCATAACATATTTAAGTGAAATCTTTTTATCATAAAATCTATTACATACCTACTTATCCTTTTTTGTTTTATTTCAAATTTCGGATATTTTTATTAGGGTAGGTACATTTGGATAAATCAATTACACAGGTCTACAGATCGACTGAAACCAACTTTGATCTGTGACTGAAACTTTTCTATATAAAATCACCATTTTAAAAATGTTTGGTTTATAAATTTTTGAATACCCAAGTTGGCGTTTTAACTTCAATACGAATTTACAGTCAGGACGTTGTTTATAATGAGCAGGTGTTATGCGATGTACCCTATGATAAATACCTATTTGAAGTGTCGATGTACCTCCTACATGAAAGCATAAAATGCGATCACAAAATATTGTTTTAAACATGAATAAGTAAAAATAATGCAAGAAATTTTGGAGTAACCCATTTAAAACACTTCAACTCCCGTTTTGGGAATTATGGGGTATGATCGAGTAACTAGAATTTTGTAGAAATAAGTTTGGGACACAATTTTATTGAAATGGCGTCGTTCCTAATTCCAAATATACTAGGTGAATGACCTTGAATACACATTAAACAATTGCCCAAAGACTGGGAGATGCGAATTTCGAATTATCTATGATGACGACACCGAACGTGGTGGAGGGAAGTGGTGGTGGTTTTCAAAGAATGTGGGGATGAATATATCCTACCAGATCACTATGGGCACCCCTTCCACAAAATTCTACATCACAGCGACGAAGCTCCCTACCCCAAAAACACCCACGACCCGCGAAAAGATTTGTTTATCTATATGTGCAGCACCCTATGTTTAAAATAATTTGTTTTATAAACACTTACCTTTTAATTTTATGAGCCAAATCTTCTAAAAACACAACTTTCACGACTTCGTCATCAAAGCAAACGTAAACTGTTCATGTCAGTTTTCTGAGCAAGGCTTGCCAAGAAGTTTGATTTTGCGTAGATGGCATTTTGACCTTTTCCAGTTCAAATTTTCCCGCGAAAATAAAAATTGATATTAAAAATATTGAAGTTATACATAATATATTCTAAGGTATGTATATATAAATATAATTAAACTAAAATACATTTCGATATACTTGCAATTAATTACCTACTTGTATTATTTTTTTTATAATTAGCCACACATTAGATATACCTATAAATTTTTTGGTGTTGATATCACCATAAATTGAGTGAATTGCATTTTGACTATTACTAATAATCTTAAAATATAATATAAAATGTATGCTTTTTATTAATTTGTTTTTAATTGAAGTCGGAAACTCTCTCTTTGAACATAGATCACCAAAAATTCTGTTGTTGTTATTTTACTGGACAAAAAATGGTGGAGTTGAAGTGATTTCACAGAAAAGTAATTTGAAGAGAAGACGAATGCGTGCGTTCAGAAATGTTCACCCCAGGGGTGCGTTCACAAATCGAGAACGTCAAATTTTCAATCGTCCGGATAAAATTCGTCAGAACGTTTATTTTTGCCCAATAAATAGGAACGGTAAGTGCAAATTATTGTCAAATCAAGTTTTTGGTTATGTCTTTTCTATTATCTGAGATTGTAGGAATTATCAAAAATTAGTAAATAGGTAACAACGTCCACATATACTTTATGTTTATGTAAAAATTCAATTCATTGCCTTTAATCCTCTGTAAAGGCTGTATGTCACGATACTAAATTAAGTACTAAATTTAGAACTAAATTAATGCATTTTTTAAGTACTAAAAAAATTCACGTTGCAAACAGCAAATTTAGTACTAAATTTAGTACTAAAAAAAGTCATTAATTAATTAGATCTTGTTCTATTTTCTACTAAATTTAGTACTAAAAGTGCGCCGAAATGTTGCGCAGAAGTTTTTCATAGAAAAAGTTGACACGACGGTATTTTCTGTTCCCTTTTATTTTTAATTAGCGACAATTTTACATTATCGCCTTGAATAAAGTTCGCTTGTTTGATTTTGTAGGTTTTATTGTGTTTTTTTCGTGGTTATTATGCTGTATTTGGTTGTTGTCAAGTCAATTAGTGTCAAATTGATAATAAAAGCACCATTTACTTCACTTGTCTGTTTCACACAGAATATTTCATTTCTCTGCTAATTGGGCATTCCAAACAAATGAATTACCAGTGGGCAGGTTTGGTATATCTAAGGGTGGCGACATATGGTGTATTCTATCTACTTTACATAAAATCATGAATAATGGATTACATTTAAATATTTTATGTCAAACAAAATAAAAATAATATTTAAAAAACCCACCTATAGATTTCTTCATAAATTGGCAGGCTTGGCGACTACTTCTTTGAATAAAAATAGCGTCCAAGTTGCAAGACTATGTCGCTACCCCCTTAGATATACAAGAATTTCCCACTGGCACCTATTGTTTGACAGGTCGTTGGAATGCCTAATTGCACATATTAATTTAGTACTAAAAATTGGTATCGTTGCAAACGGAAAAAATATTTTTAGTTCTAAATTTAGTACTAAATTAATAACTTAATTTAGTGCTAAATTTAGTACTTAATTTAGTATCGTGACATACAGCCTTAATACAATTTTATCATTTTCTATAATGAAATTACTATCATTTCCGGCAAATAGACGATAATTGATGGAATTAATTCTCTCATACTCATATTTAAATATGTTTTAATCAAAAAAGTAAAAATAGGAAATTAATTACTAGGTGGTTCTCTTAGGGCCGATTCCACCGTAGTATTAAACGGAGATTAAAATGACATTGTAAGGGCCGATTCCACCGTTGTGTTAAACGGAGATTAAAATGACACTGTTAATGTAAAAATGTCATTTTAAACTTCGTTTAACACAACGGTGGAATCGGCCCTTATTGTAAAAATGTCATTTTAAACTTCGTTTAACACAACGGTGGAATCGGTCCTTAGGGCCGATTCCACCGTTGTGTTAAACGGAGATTAATATGACATTGTTAATGTAAAAATGTCATTTTAAACTTCGTTTAACAAAACGGTGGAATCGGTCATTAAACGTTATGACATACTGCGCAAGTCGAGTAAAAATTACCCTACTCAACACACGGTGGGTAAAATTTCTTCATCCCGACGCGTTTTTCTTTCAAATAGGAACGACTAGGGTAATTCGTCCAGATAAAACGTTCCACATTTAGGAACGCTTTTTAGTTTAGACAATGTCCGGACGCATTTACCCTACCTTTCTGAACGCACCCCAGCTGGCTCCAAAATGCGATTTTGCCATTTTTACGAAAATCGAACGCATCTTTTTTATTTAATATTTATCTGTCATTATTGTCAATTTTATTTAGGTTGGGATTGTTGATGTTGATTAAATAAAAATTAAACAAATTGAAGAGACTCATACCCTAACATATTAAAATATGTGCCCAGAAAGTAAAACGATTGGATAAAGGTTTACATGCTTTAAATCAGTGTATTCTCAATTAGTGATAAAGTAGTTCAATGTAATAATACTTAAAGAAAGAAATACTATTGCAAAACACTATAGGCATTTTAGCTAGTCTTTAATTCCTAAAGATGGCCAGTTTCCAATACTCCAATTATTGAGAAACTCTGATAGTTATTCTTATATGGTATCAAAGAGTAATACAGGTAATAATTATTCCTTGTCCTCTGGTTCCTTCTCAATGTCATGTATTCATACTTATAGTTGAACTTGTGCAGATTTTTTTGTTCACAGTACTACTTATTTGCAAATATGTTCATTCACATTCAGTAGCTCAAAGTAATAAATATCTACATATTCATTCAGTAGCTCAAAGTAACTTGGTATTAAATAACAATAAATTAAACTGGAAATGTAGCAGATTTAAAAAGTATTTGAGAACCTCTTAGTTTTACACAAAATATACATTACAAAAAACCATTTCAAATGAAAATGCAAAATTACATAACTATCTAACAACAGATTCAAAGCAATTCTAATGTTCTGACATATTGCAAAATCACTTAAAACGGAAAATAATTTTAATAATAATGCCATACTCATACTACAATCAAAAATAAAATTTAAACCTCAATATAAAACTGAAGCAAATTCAAACATTTCAAAGCAAGATTTTTTCAACAAAAAAAAATTACAACACATAATTGAAATAATCCTATTGGGATCTGAAGATAAGCGATACGCCCTCTACTGTGAACTAAAAGTTATGCCATTTGACACTTGACCGTCTGTGTTCTGTCAAGTTTTATTTATTGTTTATCAGGTCATTTCAATATTTTAAAATTTTATAAGTATTTTGTTTGAAATATCTTATTTAATAATAAGCTAATGCTTTAAATTTATATCATATATATTAAAATATTATTTTATTTGAACTATAAGTGGAATATCAGTGAAAAACACACTTGTAAGGGTGCCTGGATGCAGCCCTAAAAAAAATGGACCTTCTTTTACATTTCATTTGCTTCCTAAAGTTGGTAAATGTAGGGTAATTTTTATAAATTGCAAGTGGAAATTCTGCAAGAAATGCATGGTTACAAAAATGAAAAATTGAGAAGCATTTTAAAGAAGATGATTTGCCTAGAGGTAATATAGATTTATTTTTCGATTGAATGTTTTTATTTTACCTTTTTTTGTGTTGTAGATGCCTCATCCAAAGTGAAAATAAATATAAAAAAAATCGCTGTCTTCCTGCCAGTTTTTAAGTAAATGTTTGACGATTCTGTTCAATAAACTTCAAAATCAAATATTGAGAGAACAAAAAGAAGATCCAAACCACAGAATAAAGATTTTGTGTCCAAACTAAAAAAAGTTCAATGAGTGTTAAATGTGATAGTGAGATTAAACAAAGTCATAGTTGAGAGTGATTTGTTTCAAGATAACCTAGCTACTCACGCCAAACAAGACAGAGGTTGCAAATACTCTTTTTCAAGTATATTGCCATTAGTGTACAAGTGCGCATACCCCAAAAATTAAAACAATTTCAGATCTTTTAAAATCTGACAAAGAGTTGTGTTCATTCACTGGTATTAACAACTTTAACATACTGTACTAGAAAATACAGTCAAATCAGCTGAAGTACTTCGGAAGATGGCCTATTGGGTATTGTAACTCAATAAAGAACGTTTATTATTATGTAAACATTGGCATATTTTGTTAACAGGAAAAATAAAAAAATATTTGATTTTTATATTTATTGCTTATAATAATAGCCTTTTTACCAACAGAATCAACTCGACCCATGCAACAAAGACTCATTTTTGAGAGTTTTTAGTTACCTTTATCCAGCACATATATTTGCCAAAAGCTTTGATCTAAATAAGTATCGTATATCTAAACGAAGAGGTTAAGCAACCAGGAATACTACCATCAAATATAGTAAATCATTTTAGGCCATAAAATACTTTGAATACTATATTATCTTAGATTTTCTCAAAACTGGAAATAATGAGTTACTATAGTCTTCCTTGCATGTGTCAAACTATTCCATTACAGAATAATATAAAAAATGTACAAAAATACATTATCAATGTACAATCACTCATTAGAAAATGTAACAGTACACGATGACTGGTAAACTTGAGAATAAAAATAATTATTAAAAAGAGTATTCTCTCAAGTACAAAATCAATCATAAATTTCAAGCTGTACATTTTCATTTATTGTATTAAAGAAGAGATCACATGAATTACTTATGTTATTAATATCATAATTATTCACACAATATCCAAACATTACAAACATCAGTGTGTTAAAAAGGTAAGAATAAGAACACTTGCGAAGTGTCATACAATTGTTTGTAAGATAATAAGTAACATGGATTAAATAATATATTATAAAAGTATTAAGACTAAAAACTAATACAAACTACAAATTAAAATTATGACTAAGTAAATTTTACATCAAAACTAACAAACAAACAAAATAGTACCTACTTGTGTTAATAGATGATTTTAAAAGAATAATTATTCTATATGTTTTAAAACATCTTGTTAAATAAAATTATGGAACATTGAAATAATA